GCTCGCCAGTGGACTTGGCAGACAGACAAGATTAGGCAGACAAACAATACCAGAACTTATCAGTTGAGCTGTACAACGAGAGAGAAAAATTGTCTGAAATGCTGTATATACTTGTATGGTTTAAATGCCAAAAATTCTGATATTGAATGAAAGATCTCTTAGACAGGGACTTGATTGAGATATAAAGATAGATTTGAAAAGTTCTTACGTGCCTCTGATTTTGATCTGAAATGGATAAATTACGAGTAATGTAAAAGAAATAAATTTGCAGTTTACATGATTTATACCAGATTTTACAAAGTAGATTAGTTTCTGCAATAAAAACTTTTCTTTCTTACCCAGAATGCTAATTTCTATAGAAAACTATTTTAAACTACATTTATTCTTTAGTTGCGCTAATCAATATTGACTGCCAACATTTTCACTACATAACTGTTCTCTTTCCACGTATTTATTGCATCACTACTGTGCCTTCTACACTAACAAAGTTACACGTGCTAAGTAAGGAAGTTATTTCATGGACTTCACAAGAATGGTATGTGTGTGTGTGCATCATTTGCCATGAAGGAATACCAAATACTGGAATGAAATCATACTAAAATTTATATCTCTTATACAACTTCTTCTCATCAATGTAACAATTATCAATAAAATAGAAAACTTGTACTTTACTAGCTAGGTGTCCTGGACATGTGGACCATACTAAAGAACCCACAAAAGTCTGATGATGATCAGAAGGTTGTCATGAATAGTCGATGCTTTAACATGATTTAATATTATTACATGTTCTGATCAAATTGTATTTATATCTAAAGCTGTAAAACTGTAGAATTGTAAAATATTTTATGATTTGAAGGAATGAATAAAAATAAAAATTTAATAAAAATCAAAGTTACTTTTTTTTAGTTGAGTATTATTTAAAGAAAATAAACATTAATTATTTGAGAATTTTCTGTGTTTGTATTTACCTGTGAAATGAAAGAAATAATTAATTAGTTTCAAATAATATGAAAGCAGGCACTCTTTGGAATGCGAAAATCAACACATTATAAGCAGCTACTTAGTGTTTTGTATAATTTCTAACAGCACCAGAATTTTTTACAGTATTATTGTTACTTGAAATGGTTTTATTCATCAATATAAGTAAGCACTATAGGATTTGTTTTTCTTTATAAGCTTTGTATTTCATTACCAGCTTTCGAATTTATGGACATTTCTTTAGGTATGACATACATTTCAAGTAATATAGGTTACTACTGTGTGGAACTAAAAATAATATATAAAATAAGTTTAGTTTACTTGCCTATACATTTTATAGTATATTAATTATTAACAATTCTTTCTTAACTACTAGGAATTTTACGAGTCATGAGTAAATACTGGTGGGAAGAAAAGTAATGACAGAGAACCCAAGAGATAACATATAGATACACACTGTATACTATAATAATCAATTTATTAATGTATAGAGACCCCTACATAGTTTACCAGTACCCCAGTCTTCTATTAGTGGTTGTCCCATGTATCGCCCAAGTTTACATCTTATACATGTTTACTAATATTACAGGTAGCTTGACCACTTAATAAACAGAATCATAAGCTTGACCACTTAATAAACAGAATCATAAGTTTGACCATTTAATAAACAGAATCATAAGCTTGACAAGAAGCTTATAACTCCTCTTGTTTTCAATTAATTGCATTCATATTTAACTGATCTATCACCAAACATTTTTTATTTGAAGATTATCACTTGTTTGGGTTGATTAAATTCAACTTAGTAACAACTAGAACAGCTTGAATTCTTGTTTTAAAGTGTATCAATAATGTTGCACATTAACTTATCTAATCTATGACAATCTTCTGTCTCTGCATCAGGTTTTCCTTGTGTGTCACTTGTATCCAGGAACTCTGTAGGCACCATCAGTTTGCTGACCAAATCTGCTGTTTCTGGAAGACTTGATAATGTATTCTGTAAAAGTTCTCGGACCTTGTCCAAGTGTTTTTGAAAACGTTCTGCAGTTTCTAAACGTTGACGCTTTTGTACTTCTAACATTACACGCAAAGTTTCCCTGGCTTGGTGAGGTCGAAATTCATTAATCAAATGGTGCATGTGGATAAAAAGTAATTTTATGTCATCTCGCTTTTCTTCTCGTTTTGAAGTGTCAGGACAACGTATAAGTATATCAAGTAAATCAAGAAAATTCACAAGAATTGAATGATTAAGTTTTTTGAGTTCTCTTTTATGATCATAATTCTGTGGATAAAGCCGACGAATCCCTTGAGTTTCCAAAGGTCTGATTATGACATCATCAGTTTGAAATTGCACACCAAACATTGAATATGATTCTTGGATAGGTCTCGGAGGGGAAGGAGCCACCCCTCTTTCAATGTTCTCATCTGTGTACCAGTTAACATACTGCATAGGAGGTAATGGCAGGGAGCTTACCTGAGTTGATTCTGACATTTTAACTCTAATTCTCAATATTTTTTTTCAACTGATTAAATAAAGTATCCAAAGCTTGAGAATACCAGCTGTAGTTGTAACGATAGGCTGGTTTTAATTCTCACTGCTGAATGGTGAACTCATGACGATCATTATGTAAAGAACCTTGTTGAACAGGCCTACAAGAAAAAAAAAGTTTTTAAAAATCAAAGTTACTTTTACACCTATTTCTCAAGCCCAAGCCAGAAGCACAATGTAAAAGGATTTTTAAAGATAACAATATACCATCCTTAAAAAGAAAGAGTGCATAAAACAGGAATTCTCAAAATGCAAAAAAAGCCAGCCTGTGAAATCAATCACGTGCTTGCCAAAATATGAATTAGAATCTTTCTAAAAAATTGATTTTACCAAGTAAAGGCCTAATATTGTCAATTTTGAGGGTCATTAAACAGACTGTATACCCAAGTTAAAATACATATTCTTCTCTGGTCACAATGTTACCAAGCTTAAGTGATTATATACATATCATTACAGCCAGGCATCTAAGTCGATATAATCAATTACATCAACTTGTGTTACCTAAAATAATTGATTAAGGCAATTAATGTCATGAAAATCATCAAGTAATTTAAATTAGTGTTTCTGATTATAACTGTTTTTGAATATTCCAACTATTCAGTACAGGTGGGCAATTAACTCAATCAATATAACTGATTACATATGAGCATTTATTAGTGACACTTAAAACAATGATTTATTGAAATAGTAATCAAATTAACTACAGTCATGAAAGTAATCAACTTAATGATTCAGCATCAAGGGAGATTCTACAACAACAAACTTAATGAATCATAGTATTCAAGCAATTGGCAATGAACCATACCACTGACATGATAGAGAACATTAGACAGGAGCTTGTTGACATGAAAGAGAACATTAGACAGGAGCTTGTTGACATGAAAGAGAACATTGGACAGTAGATTGTTGATATTATAGAGAACATTAAACGGTAGCTTGTTTACATGATAGAGAACATTAAACGGTAGCTTGTTTACATGATAGAGAACATTAGACAGTAGCTTGTTGACATTATAGGGAACATTAGACAGTAGCTTACTGACATGATAGAGAATATTAGACGGTAGGTTATTGACATGATAGAGAAGATTAGACGGTAGGTTATTGACATGATAGAGAAGATTAAATGGTAGTTTGTTGACATGATAGAGAACATTAGACAGTAGCTTGTTGACATGATAGAGAACATTAGACAGTAGGTTATTGACATGATAGAGAACATTAGACGGTAGGTTATTAACATGATAGAGAACATTAGACGGTAGGTTATTGACATGATAGAGAAGATTAAACGGTAGGTTATTGACATGATAGAGAACATTAGACAGTAGCTTTTTGACATGATGGAGAACATTAGACGGTAGGTTATTGACATGATAGAGAACATTAAATGGTAGTTTGCTGACATGATATAGAACATTAGACAGTAGCTTGTTGACATGATAGAGAACATTAGACGGTAGGTTATTGACATGATAGAGAATATTAGATGGTAGGTTATTGACATGATAGAGAACATTAAATGGTAGCTTGTTTACGTGATAAAGAACATTAGACTAGGTTATTGACATGATAGAAAACATTAGACTAGGTTATTGACATGATAGAGAACATTAGACTAGGTTATTGACATGATAGAGAACATTAGACAGTAGCTTGTTGACATGATGGAGAACATTAGACAGTAGCTTGTCATGACAGAGAACATTAGACAGTAGCTTGTTGACATGATAGAGAACATTAGACAGCAGCTTGTTGACATGATGAAGAACATTAGATGGTAGGTTATTGACATGATAGAGAACATTAGACTGTAGCTTGTTGACATGATGGAGAACATTAGACGGTAGGTTATGGACATGATAGAGAACATTAATTGGTAGTTTGTTGACATGATAGAGAACATTAGACAGTAGCTTGTTGACATGATAGAGAACATCAGACAGTAGCTTGTTGACATGATAGAGAACATTAGACGGTAGGTTATTGACATGATAGAGAACAAGATTTTCCTTAGTGAAACAATGATGACTATCAAATAAAATTCTAAATTTTGTTAAATGACCTTGCAAAGCATTTTTCATCAGAGTTTCAAAACCTTTTTCCACAACTGATGTAAGACTAATGGGTCTATAATTACTGGGACAATTTTTATCACCTCCCTTGAAAAGAAGAGTTACATTAGCAAATTTCTGATCCTCTGGCACCTGCCCACTATTCAAAGACTGAGAAAAATTAGTAGCAAGTGGCTCACATATCCAATCCTTAACTTCCTTCAAAACCCTTGGGGAAATATTATCTGGCCCAGGAGTTTTATTGTTCTTTAAATTTTCCAATTATTTTTAACGCTCTCAGAATTAATGTGATCATCTTGTTAAATCCATCTATCAACTGTTCAAGATGATAAATATTGCTTAAATCTTCCTTAGTAAAACCTGAAGAAAAAGCAGAATAACCCAGCCATCTCATAACCATAAGATACAAGTCTTCCTTTATCATCACTCAAAGGTCCTATTCCTGTCATATGTTTTTTACCCTTAATTTATTTAAAGAAATCCTTACTGTTAATTTTTATATTTTCAGCCAACATTTTTTCATACATACGTTTTGATGTCCTAATTTCTTGTTTGACCAACTTTCTTATCTTCTATATACTTCTAAATCTCCCATCATACCAGTCAATTTAAATTTCTTAAATTTGTGATACTTTAATCTTATCCCTTATATTCTTTGTTAGCCAATCTGGTTTTCAACTTGCAGGCACCTTTTTCTTTCCATAGGAAATATATATTTAAAAAATTATCTTTAAACATTTTTCAGATTTGATCAATCTCCAAATAACTCAACTTCCCAATTCACAACAGACAGTTCTTGTCACATCCCTCCAAAATTTGCTGTTTGGAAATCTGTAGCCAAAATATCATTATTCATTATTTTCATATACAGTAAAACATCAAACTTAATACACCAATGATCACTTGCATAAAGATGTTCCCCAATTTCCACCTTCTCAACCATTTCTATATTAGAAGTTAACTAAGTCTAAATCAGCATTGTTTCTAGTAGGTTCCTTGACCAATTAGTGAATAAAAACATCCTGAACAGTTTCCAAAGACTTTCTCCCTCATGATGTGACTTTAACATTTCCCAATTTCTATGCTTGAAATTAAAATCACCCATAATTATGACCTCATTAACAGCTGAAATCTTAATCTCACTGTAAAGTTTTTCATTAATTTCATCAGTATTATCTCTAACAAATTCCTACTAGAAGCCTTTTCATTTTATATCCGCTGACAGAAACCCAAATGGATTTTATCTCCATGCTATTATCTTCGATATCCTCATCTCCAACAGGATGTAACTCACATTTTACATATAAACCCACTCCTCACCCATATTTAGTACTCTATCCCTATTAAATAACCTTGTATTTCAAAGAAATTTCTGTCATAAAAATTGTCTGTATTTAACCATGTTTCAGTTATTCTCATTATATCAAAATCCTCCCTTCCTACCAGTGCTCTAAAGTCATCTATTTTATTTTTTATACTTCTACCATTACAATTAAGCCTACCCTTATAACTATTTCTATACATATTTCATATGCCATACATTACACTACATCTTATTTTTTGCATTTAGCTTATCCAGACCCTCACCACTGTCTATTACTAGTTTAAAATTTCCCTTACAAGTTAAACTTACGGCTGAGTTAATAGCCCTTGCAAATAAGCCAGCCCTACATTATTTAAAATTAAACATAAACCATCCATTCCAAAAAGATTCATTCTCTCATTAAAGTTAAACTGATCCCACACGTCCAACCACTGAACCAGCCAATTTGCTCATCCTTACATATTAACCTAAGCCTAGCATTCACTGATTCAGCCCTAATGTCCTACTTATAATTTCATCCCTACATTTGATTCTCAGCAGTATCCCTGACACAATTAAGTTATGGCTTTTTTTTTAATGCTTATATCAACTCATTGTAGTTATATTTATCAATTAGCTCCTCTGACCTACCTTTCTCAACATCATTAGTCCCTACGTGCACAATAAAAACTGCATCATTGCTACTTGAAGTAGTACTTTCCTTTATTATATCTCTTGCTCTATCACTGTTACTGTCAGTTAAAAGTTATTTGGCTATGTATCTTACTATCTAGCTCTTGGGTACTACCACTTCATCGTAACACAATACTACTGTGTACTTGAAAATTGCATAACTACTAATGTATCGGGCACACTTACAAAGCACATATTGTATTATTTTAACTATTAATAATAAATATGTTAAGTGTTAGGCCTAACGATAACACTTCATATTATTATTAACGCTTAACAAATTACTAAAAATCTGCATCACGCTCTTCTTTTCAATGTTTTACTTTTACTACTAATACTATTATCCATTAACAAGCATTGAAGTAATATTAATAACAATATTAACAGTAATTTCACTTTAAAAGTTTAATTGATTAAATTAAAGAAACGTCTGCTGTTATTGTTAGTCACTTATTGTTAAAATTATAACAATGTTAATAATAGTACCACGGTTCAATAACAAAACTTTTGTGTTAGAAGGGCTTAAAAATAAAAAAGGTAGACTTAGAGAAATTAGATATTTAAAATTTAAGCTATCCCACCTCCCTGGCGTTTCTGAAATAACAGTCTTGTAAATTACCAAATTCAAATATATAACTTTATACGAACTTGAACAGCAGGCATTTTTCCATAATTTAATTTTTACTATTTAGATAAAAGTAAAACTAAAAAACTTGTATAGATTATCGTTAATGGCCTCGGCGACAACGTAGAAAACACATTTTCAATAAATTAAAACTTTCTTTTCAAACTTTTAACTCAAGTGAGATCAATTTCATAAATTTTAAAAGAGCACTAGCGTCACCTAAGTCCATCTTTATGGAAGATTTTACTAACCATAATTTTAGTCATTTAATTCTAAGATAATTCTGTACCAAGCAGAAATGTCAAAATGGAATACTGTAATATTATTGTCTAAAATTAGTATTCGAATTTATTATTACTTATAGCATTCAACAACATCAGTTTCTGGTATCTTTAAAAAGGGTGACGTTACGAACGAATAGTAGGATTGACTGACAAATTATAATGTTCCCATGGCAAAAGGTCAAGTATATTCGACGACAGTTTTCGATCCCGCTACTTGCATATTGCAAGACCAGCGCCTCAACTAACAGGCCATGACAGGCCTAAGAGATTTCTTAAGAAATTTAAATGAAGTAAATGCAAGCCTGTGCACAAATATACTGTTACGCCTCTGTTCGTTAGTTAATTTTCCGTAAAAATTCTTTACGAAGAAACTTTAGCGATATAAGTCCTTTCTTAAATAAAACTGGTTTATTCTCTCTGAATACAACTTTGCAATACCCTTAATTTCTACAGTCGCGCTATAACAAACGCTATAATTCACAACGAACATCTCACATGCTTGACTCAACAATATTATCTCTCTGTCCGCAGTTCAATTACACAGCATTACATTGTTGCCGTAACTTCTTGGCCGTCTTATATAAAAGAATACCGTACATCTAGTAACCTCCCGAGGATTCACGAAGCTTCGAGAATATGACGTGTTACTAGCGTCACGTGACCTCCGCTGTCGTAACACTGCCCCTTCCTTAGTATTCTTCGGGACGAACAATAGCCACTTACATTAAACCAATAAACAATTAACAATAACTTACTTCGCCGACCACATTTTATTCGGAAAGTCACGTCTGGGAGACGATCCACTACGTCATATGGGCCTTCCCATGGAGAAGACAGCTTAGGAGACTTCCCTTTGGCCTTCCTGGGATTATACACTCACACCTTGTCTCCTGGTACAAAGCTGACTTCAGTAGATCTCTCATCATAAGATAACTTCATCGAATCAGCAGACGTTTTCAGGTTTGTACGCACTTGATGGTGAATATCATCCATCCTTTCCGATAAAACTTTCACAAACTCTGACACATTTTCAGGCAACTCTTCATAAGGTG